GCTCTACCCTGTTCAAAGGTTGGTCTTTTCTCTTGGAGCCCTTGCCCTGGAAGTGTTCGGCTCCTGCTGGCTCCAGGCACCCCGAGAATTGACTTGAAGTTCTCCTCTTTGCCTGTTCAGGTTTTGGTGACAGGCTACTGAGTGAAGTGAAGAAACTAGCTCCAAAAGATGTGAAGATCAGGGTAGGAGCATGGTGGGGCCTGGCCTGGGTGGAATTGGGCTTCCATGGACAGAGTCCCACCTGGTGTAGCTTCCCTCTAGCTTTGCCCAAGCTCTTTAGGCAGCCATGGCTCTACAGGCAGCACCAGGTTCCCAGCCTGTACACTGACCCTGAGGTCTAGGTCTGCCACAGGGAGGCTGAGTTCTCATTCTCCCTCTTCACGCCAAAGGAAGGCAGTTCTAATACCCAGATGAGGCAGGGTACTAGGTAGAGGGCCCCCTGCATGATCTTTCAGGGAAACTATAATCTTTAGAGGAGACTGACTTAATGTTGCTGTGCTGCCTGCCCAGGTGGCTACCCTGTCACACAGTCTGACACTTTAGTGACAGGTGAAGGGGGTTGGCTGTCTGAGGAGAGTAGGGATCCTAAAGAAAGGAGTACAGTTCCTACCACGGAGTCTGCTTCTCCCTGGCTGCCCAATAGCCCCAGCTTCCCTGGGACCTGTGGGGACTGGAAACCTGCTTCCCCAGATGAGTGGGAGGCTGGCCACAGTGCCCTCCAGAGAGGCCAGAGCTTCAGGCTTGTGTGAAATGTATCCCCCGCCATGGGCAGAAGGAGAAGCGTTGTAGGGAAAGGGAGTGGGAGGACTGGAAGTCTCAGATTTCTCTTTCCCCGCCCCCTTTGCAGATATCTGCACCTCAGGAGAGACTGTATTCCACGTGGATTGGGTGAGTAGCTCTTCTGGGAGTAAGAACGGAACAGGAAGTGATGGCACCGATAACCCCTCAGCACCCCATCCCTCTAAAGAAAAGCCTCATTTGGTTTGGCCCCAGGGGACTGGTAGGCTCCACACACACCCACTTCTCTCTCACACGGTTCCTCTGGGTTTCCTCCCTCCAGGGGCTCCATCCTTGCCTCCCTGGACACCTTTAAGAAGATGTGGGTCTCCAAGAAGGAATATGAGGAAGACGGTGCCCGATCCATCCACAGAAAAACCTTCTAATGTTGGGACATCATCTTCACCTCTCTCTGAAGTTAACTCCACTTTAAAACTCGCTTTCTTGAGTCGGAGTGTTTGCGAGGAACTGCCTGTGTGTGTGAGTGCGTGTGTGGATATGAGTGTGTGCGCACATGCGAGTGCCGTGTGGCCCAGGGACCCTAGGCCCAGAAAGGACGATGAACTACGCGCGATGGTGACAGCCTGAGGCCTGGGGTTGACCGCTAACTGGCTCCTGACAGGGAAGAGCGCTGGCAAAGGCTGTGCTCCCTCCTCAGGTGGCCTCTGGCTGGCTGTGGGGGACTCCGTTTACTACCACAGGGAGACAGAGGGAGGTAACCTATCCCCTGGGAGACCTTGCTGCTGCCCATCCTTGGCTGGGCTGGCCCCACTCTCACACCCACCCCCAGGGTGCCCTGAGGCCCCAGGCAGCTGCTGCCTCCCCTTGCTGGTCACTCCACTATCGATGCCTCCTGACTGCACACTGAGGACTGGGGCTGGGGTTGAGGTCTGTCTGGTTTTGTTGCCATTTTGGTTTGGGAGGCTAGAAAAGCACCCGAAGAGCTATTACGGAGACTGGATCTAGGAGAGAGCAGGAGGCCCTTGTGTTCACCAGGGAACAGGACCACACCGGCCACTGGAGGAGGGCAGGAGCAGTCCTCCCTCTGAATGGCTGCAGAGTTTATGTTCCCAGCCCAGTCCCCTTTTGGGGACCTTGGGAGAGTTTAAGGCACCTGCTGGTTCCAGGTCCTCGCTTTCCATCCGTTCTTGTTGCAATGCCATCTTCAAACAGTTTTATTTATTGAAGTGTTTGTTCAGTTAGGGGCTGGAGAGAGGGAGCTCGCTGCCTCCTGCCTTGCTACACTAATGTTTACAGCACCTAAGCTTAGCCTCCAGGGTCCCACCTCTCCCAGCTGATGGTGAGCTGACAGTGTCCACAGGTTGCAGGACCATTTGAGATTGGAAGCTACATTCAAAGACACTCCCACCAGGCTCTTTCTCCCTTTTCCTCTTGCTCACTGCCCTGGAATCAACAGGCTGGTTACTGGTTAGATTTTTCTGAAACAGGAGGTAAAATTTTTCTTTGGCAGAGGCCCCTAAGCAAGGGAGGGGTGTTGGAGAGCCAGTGCCCTTAAGACTGGAGAAAGCTGCAATTTACCAAGTTGCCTTTTGCCACTGTAGCTGACCAGGGGACTAGGTTGTAGAGGTGGGAAGGCCCCCGCTGGGCTGATCTTGTGCCATTCTTGACCGTGGACCTGCTTGGTTGAGGGAGAGGGCCAGACCAGAGTGCCAGGAGCTAATGGAGCCAGGCCTGACCCCTAGAAGTGGTCCAAAGGCCTTCAGCCTAGATGGTGCAAAGTTGGTGCCAGCCTGTCTTCACCGGCACCCTCACCTGTGACACCAAGACCCATCCCAATCCCAGTCTTCACACAGTATTCTCCCCCACACCATCCTATGACCAAAGGCCCCTGCCAGGTGTGGGCCGCAGCAGCAGGTATGTGTGAAAGCAATGTAGCGCCCCGCGGACTGCAGTGCGCTTAACCAACTCACCTCCCTTCTCTTAGCCCAAGCCTGTCCCTCGCACAGCCTCGCACAAACTACATTGCCTGGTGGGGCCCAGTGTACTGAAATAAAGTCGTTCCGATAGACACATCAGCTGGGCCTGTTATCTGTCTGTCACCAGGGCCAAGTGGGAAGACGAAGAGTAGCAGGCCCTGAATCTGAGGTGGTGACTGGGCCTGATCCATCCTCTAGAGGGCATCGTTGCACCAGCCAGCCTTGTCCAGGACATAGCCCAAGTCCCAGCCTGTCAGTTGGATGCGGAGCAAAGGGTGATCACACCACAGCCTAAGTTCAAAAACAGAAAGAAGGTCCCACTCGTGTGTACACTCTAGCCCATGGGTGAGACTCAACTCCAGATGACAGGAGTGGCTCTCAACATCCCTGAAATCAAAGATTCTCAAAACTGTCACATGAATAAGAAGGCCAGGGACTTGGCCCGGCATGGTGGCTCACACCACGCCTGTAATCCCAGCACTTTGGGAGGCCAAGGCAGGTGGATCACGAGGTCAGGAGTTCAAGACCAGCCTGGCTAAGATGGTGAAACCCCGTCTTTACTAAAAACTACAAAAATTAGCTGGGCACAGTGGCAGGCGCCTGTAACCCCAGCTACTCAGGAGGCTGAGGCAGGAGAATCACTTGAACCCGGGCGGTGGAGGTTACAGTGAGCCAAGATTGCACCACTGCGCTCCAGCCTGGGTGACAGAGTAAGACTCTGTCTAAAAAAAAAAAAAAAAAGGCCGGGAGCTTATTACAATGCAGTTTCCAAGACCCATGCTCAGATATCCTGATTAATCACTTCTCCATTTAAAACCTGCACTTGGGAGGAAAATTGCCAGGTCTTTGACAAATGATAACCTATTTAATCTTCTCAATAATCTTACAAAGTATATGTGCTTTTATATAAATGTCCATTTTACAGATAAGGATTTGAAGCCATGGAAAGATTAAGCAATTTCCCAAAGCTCTGCCTTTTTTTTTTTTTTTTCTTCTTGAGATGAAGTCTTACTTTGTCACCCAGTCTAGAGTGCTGTGGCATGATCTCAATCTCCACTCACTGCAACCTCCGCCTCCTGGGTTCAAGCACTTCTCCTGCCTCAGCCTCCCAAGTAGCTGGGATTACAGGTGCCTGCCACTGTGTCCAGCTAATTTTCGTATTTTTAATAGAGATGGGGTTTCACCATGTTGGCCAGGCTGGTCTCAAACTTCTGACCTCAGGTGATCTGCCTGCCTTGGCCTCCCAAAGTGCTGAGATTACAGGTGTGAGCCACCATGCCCGGCGCTGGCCTTTCTTAATCTAGAATGTAAACCCAGGCCATAGAACCTACAGCCTACATTTTTAATTACCATGCAGCCTGTAAAAAACCATAGGCCTAGAGCAGTGGTTCCCAATTGGAACCAACTTTGCCTCCTAGGACACATCTGGCAATGCCTGGAGATATATTTGTTTGTCACAACTGGTGTGTGTGGGGGGTGGGGTGGGAGGTGCTAAACGTCTACAACAGAGAACTATCTGGCCCCAAATATCTCTAGTGCCAAGGTTGAGAAATGGTGGCTGAGAGCCATGGTTTTCAGCGCCAGCTGCATGATAAAATCACCTACAGAGACGTTCAAAATCCTACTGCCCAGGCCATACCCCAGACCCATTAAGTCAGAATCCCAAGGAATAGAATTCAGATGTCAGTATTTTTTAAGTTCCCCAGGTGACCCCAAGGCTGAGAACCTCGGGCCTAAAAGAGGCTCCTCTCTCTTTGACTACCACATCCAACAGTGATACATGGGAAATGCATTGAGGCCTGATGGTCATTTTGGGCCCCAGTGCCTATGCAGTTACCAATCTATGTTTTTCTCCCTGGCACCTTGGTAACCCACCATTTTTCTTTTTTTTTTTTTCTTTTTGAGATGGAGTCTTGCTCTGTCGCCCAGGTTGGAGTGCATGCAGTGGCACAATCAATGCAACCTCCTCCCGGGTTCAAGCGATTCTCCTGCCCCAGCCTCCTGAGTAGCTGGGATTACAGGTGCGCACCACCACACCCAGCTAATTTTTGTATTTTTAGTAGAGATGAGGTTTCGCCATGTTGGCTCAGGCTGGTCTCAAACTCCTGACCTTAGGTGATCCACCCACCTCGGCCTCCCAAAGTGCTGAGATCACAGGCATGAGCCACTGCGCCTGGCCTGCCTATCACTCTTATTCAGAAAAATGCTCTTGGGGGCTTTTTCTAGTCAGTAAGGAATCCTGGTTCTCAACCTCAGCAACCCACCATTCACTCACACAGCACAGACTTGAGGAAAAAGAATGGCCGACTTTAATCAGTCTGTAAGGAAATAAACATCTTTAGAGGCCGTGTCGGGGTAGGGGAGCCCTGCAGCAGCGGAGGCATGCCACTTCAAGCACAGCTGAAGCAGAGAACCCTCTGAGAGAAACTACTAGAAGGGTGGACTGAGGGGGAGGTGGGACTTGGAGTCAGCTTTCCCTGACTGGGAAAAAGAGAGGAGTTGCAGTATCAAAAGTGGTTCCTGAGCACCACAGCGGCCAGCTCCGGCCAGGCAGCGGGACAGGCTCCCACGCCCCATGGCAGGCCCGTGTGCATCACAGGACAGCCCCCTCCCTTCTTGGTCCTCTTCTGTCCTCCTGCTCCACAAGAGAAGCACATCCCTGAGCACATACGGCCCAGCCCTTGCCCAAGCTGAGCCAGACAGCTAAGCAGAGACTTTGACTGCAGTGAGAGCTCCCCGCTGCCATGTCTTCCAGGCTGCACTGGAGGAAGGTGGTGGAGCAGAATGCTGGTAAAACTGGCTCCTGGCCGGGTGCGATGGCTCACGCCTATATTCCCAGCACTTTGGGAGACCAAAGCAGGCAGATCACTTGAGGTCAGGAGTTCGAGACCAGCCTGGCCAACGTGGTGAAACCTCATCTCTACTAAATAATACAAAAATTAGGTCGGCCACAGTGGTTCACGCGTGTAATCCCAGCACTTTGGGAGGCCGAGACAGGCTGATCACCTGAGGTCAGGGGTTCGAGACTAGCCTGGCCAACGTGATGAAACCCTGTCTCTACTAAAATTACAAAAAGTAGCCAGGCGTGGTGGCACGCTCCTGTAATCCCAGCTACTCGGGAGGCTGAGGCAGGAGAATCACTTGAACCTGGGTGGTGGAGGTTTCAGTGAGCCCAGATTGCAACACTGCACTCCAGCCTGGGCAACAGATCAATTTTTTGAGGGAACATCTCCAAAAACAAAAACAAAAACAAAACAGCTATGAAATCCTTAAAAAAAAAAAAAAAAACTGGCTCCTCCCCCAGGCTGCCGGCAGCGTCCTCAGTGGGGTGGCCTTGCCACAGCTCTCACACCATCTTAACATCCAGGGTTTGGGCCTGTGACAGGTTCTGGCGCTGGGCCTTGACCATGTGCAGGCGTCTCCCGTGCAGCGTGAACTGAGACCAGGTGAAGAGCTGCAGCAGAGCACAGGTGATGGGTACCAGCACCAGCAGGTAGAAGCAGCCCTGGCGGAGCATCGGGGCCTGTGCAGGGGCTGGGGCTGGGGGCTCTGGCCAAGGATGGGCACTCCCCACAGGGGTTATCAGGGACTGCTGGAAGAGGTCATGACCTAGGACAAGAGATCACAGAAAGACTATGGTCAGCCCATTGCCCTCCAAGCCTTGGTGCCCTCCAAGTCCATGGTGTGACATCTCAGACACCACATGGACACGTGCAGACTACAACTCCTGAGTCCTTCAAATCCGCTCCTCTCCTACGCTTCCCATCTCAGTGACGGGCACCACCATCTACCCAATAACTCAGGCCTAAAACCTCAAAGTCCTCCTCAGTTCCCTGGTTCGTTTCACGCCATCACTCCCCCAACACCCAATCCTTCATCTCCCCCCAACTCCAAAACATATCCCACTTGCCACCACCCTGACCCAAGTCTCCATGGCCTCTGCCACAGTCTCCCAAAGATCTCCCTGCTGTCCCCATTCTGGCCTCCCTATGATCTGCTGTCCATACGGCAGCCAGAGTGAACTTTTTTTTTCTTTTTTTTTTCTTTGAGAGATGGAGTCTCGCTCTGTCTCCCAAGCTGGAGTGCAGTGGCACGATCTCTGCTCACTGCAACGTCTGCCTCCCAGGTTCAAGCAATCCTCCTGCCTCCCAGGTTCAAGTGATCCTCCTGCCTCAGCTTCCCAAATAGCTGGGACTACAGGCATGCACCACACCCAGCTAATTTTTGTATGTTTTAGTAGAGACGGGGGTTTCACTATACGTTGACCAAGCTGGTCTCAAACTCCTGACCTCAGGTGATCTCCCTCCTCAGCCTCCCAAAGTGCTGGGATTACAGGTATGAGCCACCTCACCCAGCCCAGAGTGAATTTTGTTAAAAAGTCAAATCACACCACGTCACTTCCCTGTTTAAAACCCTCCCTGGCCAGGAGTGGTGACTCAAGCCTGTAATCTAAGCACTTTGGGAGACCGAGGTGGGTGGATCACCTGAGCTCAGGAGTTTGAGACCAGCCTGGGCAACCTGGCAAAACCCCATCTCTACATAAAATACAAAAAGTTAGCCGGCATGGTGGCATACGCCTGTGGTCCCAACTACTTGGGAGGCTGAGGTAGCAGGCTCACTTGAACCTGGGAGGTCAAGGCTGTAGTGAGTCAAGATTGTGCCACTGCACTCCAGCCTGGGTGACAGGGAGACCCTATCTCAATCAATCAATCAATCAATAACGCTCCCAACAGCTTGCTTCCAATACTGCCCTGGTCAACAAAGCCCTCTTCACTTTTCCAGCCACATCTCCTAATCACCCCTGACACCCTGGGCCTTTGCACCTGCTGTTACCTCTGCCTGTGATTCACTGAGACCTTTTCTAGACAAATCCTTGCCATTCAGCTCACATCCTGAGGGGCACCTTCTCAGAGAGCCCTTCCCTGATGACACTACATAGCTTCTGAGTCACGCCATCTCACATCACCCTAATTTCACTGTAACACTGTCACTGCCTGATAATGTCTTATTTGGCTGTTTATTGCCAACCCCACCCCACACCTGACTAGAATACAAGCTCCGTGGTGGCAAAGACCTTGTCTATCTTATTCATGGTTAGCTCCCTGGCACCCAGAGCAGGGCCTGCAGAGAGGGGATTCCGTACATATTTGTTGAATGAATGAATAAATGAATGAACTAAGAAAGCATGGCGGAATCTGTGACCCAACAACTCTAGCCATGTTGGGGGGACGCCAGTTGCCACCTTCCCTCACTGGACCCAGAGCCCAGGCTTGCCAGTGTGCCAGGTAAGCTGTGCCCCCGGCGCCTTAAGAGCCCTTGCCTGTCGCCAGGCCCTCACCTGTGTAGAAACAGAGCAGCCAGGTGCCCAGCAGCGGGGCAAAGGTCTGGCCTGGCTTGGTCACCAGGGCAACCATGCCAAAGAGGAGTGCCGAGGCTGCCTGCTTGCGGTGGTTCAGCACCAGGTCCTCATCTACCAGGTCGGTGACCACCAAGGTCAGCAGCTTACAGGTGCCCTCAGTGAAGACGCGGTTGCTGTGGTAGAGGGAAAGAGTAGGCAGGAATGAAGGCATGGGACAGAGGTGTTGGGAGGAGCATGGGCAGGGGCATACCTGGCAATGAAGAGGCACAGCAGGCTGAGGTGGTCCGGGCCAGCCAACAACATGAGCAGGCTAAGGCCCAGCTTGAGCAGAAAGAGTCCCCGCACCACCGCGTAGACGCCCCAGCGCCGGCACAGGGACAGGAAGTAGAGGTTGTTGAGATGGGGAGCGACATAGGAGAGGCCTGGGGAGGGAGACGGGGCGCCACCTTGTCAAGGGCACTGCTGCAGTGCCAGTGAGTGCCACCAGCTTCACGGCCAACTGCATTCCTGTACACTAGCAATGCACTGGGCTCTGTGCTAAGAGCGTCACTGTCTTAGTTCATCCTTACAGCCCCTTAAGGTGAGTACTATTATCATCCCCACTTTACAGATGAGAAAGAGAGGCCCAAAAAGATGAACTAACCCACCAGATGAGCACAGAGTCAAGACTGACACCCAGCCCATCAGATGATATTCCTCTGTGTTAACCAGTCACTGCACCCCCTCAGGGTGCCACCATCTCCAAGAGGACCGACACCAGCGCAGCCTCTGCCCCCCCCAACCCCCAGCACACCCTGCCCCCCATGCCCACTGTACCCGGCAGCCCTTGGTGTCTTAAAAAGATTGTCCTGGCTGGGTGCAGTGGCTCACACCTGTAATCCCAGTACTCTGGGAGGCCGAGGCAGGTGGATCACAGGGTCGGGAGATGGAGACCATCCTGACTAATACAGTGAAACCCCGTCTCTACTAAAAATAAAGTCTCTCTCCTTCCAGCCTGCATGAAGCACAGAAGGCCCCCACTCACCCAACAGGATGGAGCCCGTGGAAAGGGAGATATGGTCAGACAACAGATGCTCCAGGAAGAGAGGGAAGAAGTTGCTGTTGAAGTGGCAGTGGAAGACCTGCAACCCGACAGCGATGGTGAGGAGGCTTCCAGGTGGGAGGGGAGCTGACAAGGCCGGAAGTCAACAGGGGAGCACACATCTGCCAACCCCCCAACACCCCATCCTCAGAGCAGCAAGAGTAAGAGCAGGCCTTTTTCCCCATGTCCCTAAACACAGAACATGCCAGAACACAACCTAAAACCACATTCCTGGTGGTACCTAACTTTGCTAAAAAGTTAGAAGCCATGGCAAAATAGTATCTGAGCAATTAAAAGCTTTTTCTTTTTAATTGAAAACACATTAGGGAGGCTGGGCACGGGGGCTCACACTTGTAATCCTAGCACCTTAGCACTTTGGGAGGCCAAGGCAGGTGGATCACTTAAGGCCAGGAGTTTGAGACCAGCCTGGCCAACATGGCAAAACCCCGTCTCTACAAAAAATACAAAAAATTAGTCGGGTGTTTTATTGCATGCCTGTAATCCCATCTACCCGGGAGGCTGAGGTGGGAGAATCATTTGAACCCAGATCACGCCACTATACTCCAGCCCGGGCCACAAAGTGAGAAGAAAAAAAAAAAAGAAAACACATCAGTGAGACAAATTTCATGACATGAAAACAGTTTATTTCTAAGTTCAGCTGGTTTATATACTACATGTTTTAGGTACAGCATTTGGCTCTTCTTTTTTTTAGAGATGGGGCCTTGCTCTGCCGCCCAGGCTGGAGTGCAGTGGTGCAATTATAACTCACTGCAGCCTCGAACTCCCCCAGGCTGGAGTGCAGTGGTGCAATTATAACTCACTGCAGCCTCGAACTCCCTCAGGCTGGAGTGTAGTGGTGCAATTATAACTCACTGCAGCCTCGAACTCCGGGCTCAAGCAGTCTTTCCACCTTGGCGCCCCAAAGTGCTGGGATTACAGGCGCGAGCCACTGCACCTGGCAGTGCTTGGTGTCTTAAAAAAATGGTTAAAGGGTCCCCAAAGGGGGCATCTCTGTCTCATATCCTCACTTTACAGGAGAGGACAGGGCTCCCCAGAGAGCCTGAGACCTGCCTAAGATCACACAGGGAGGGAAAAACTCAGAGGGCGCTAGAATCCAGGCCTCCTGACTACTCAACCTGCATTCCTGCCACCAAATTGCCCAGCAGACCTCCTGGGTGGCCCAGAACTCAGTTCCCAGCTCTTTTTTTTTTTCCTCACTCTGTTACCCAGGCTGGAGGGCAGTGGTGCCCTCTCAGCTCACTGCAACCTCCGCCTTCTGGGTTCAAATGATTCTCCTGCCTCAGCCTCCCAAATAGCTGGAATTACAGATGTGCTGGAATTACACCATGCCCAGCTAATTTTTGTATTTTTATGGGGTTTCGCCATGTTAGCCAGGTTGGTCTCGAACTCCTGTCCTCAAGTGATCCACCTGCCTCAGCCTCCCAAACTGCTGGGACTACAGGCATAAGCCACTGTGCCTGGCCGAGTTCCCAGCTCTTGAAGAGTCTGTCCCCTTGAGTGAAGTCCAGGCCAGCTGTAGAGGTGCCTGGAGCTGCTCCCCCATACCTGCACCAGGTCCATGCTCACAAACCACAGGAAGTTCCGATGGCGTGCCAGCTGCCGGAGATATTGGCCCAAGGTGATGCTGTCTGCCTCCTCACTGCCCACAAGCAGCTCCTCTCCACACAGGCTGTGGGGCAGAAGGGAGTGGAGAACTGCCTGGGGCTGGCCAGAGTTATCCCCCAACACATCCCAGGGCAGCCCCCATAAGCCAAGGACACAGCACCAAAATCAGACTTAGAAGGTTGCTGGTGAGGACCTGAAGAACCAGGGCTGGCCACTCACCCGCAATCCACAGCCAGGCCTGAGCACCCTGGGTCCCTTCGGGCGGCCTCAACCCGCCGCCTCAGCAGCCGTGTGGCCCCCAGAAAGCCCAGCCCAGAGCTGACAGCCAGTGTCACGCAGAAAGCGCGGAAGGAGGAGAAATCCTCCTTGTTCCAAAAGGCATAGGAGGCAAAGACAGAGAGGGAGCCGGCTGCACTGAAGAGGGAGCAGTAGAAGTTGAGGTGGGTGCGGTCGTGGGCTGAGAGTGCCAGGTCGGCCAGCAAGGCGTGGTGGTGAAGGTCCACGAGCGTCAGGAAGCCATCGTAGAGGCACAGGCACAGCAAGAACTGCAGGCCAGCTGGGGCCCAGGGTACCCAGAATGCCAGGAATGACAGCGCCAGCAGCGGCCCATGCCAGCCCAGGGCCCGCACCCGGGCCAGCACCACGGCCCTTGAGGAGAGCCCAGCGCCTGACCTGCTGGGGAAAGGAGGGTTGTTGGGAGATGCCCTGCAAGCCTTGGCAGGCCGAAGTTCCCCTTGCCCAGGCTCCGGGGGAGGGATGGAGGCCCAGGGTGTGGGACTCACAACAGGGTGGTCGCACTGTCCCCCAAGTCCCCAGTCTGCAATTTAGGAAGCACAACTCAGCAGTGGGTACACTCCATCCTCTGCCCCAATTTCCACCCCATTATTAGCCTGTTGGGCTGATGGCCAAAGGGTATGGGATGCCCACTTCTCAAGGTTGGGAGAGATGATGGGATCAAGAAGGGATGGGGCAAAGGAATCTTCTAGAAGCAGCAGAGGGTGTTTGCAGTCCACAGTCCAGAGGGGCCAGCCAAGCCAAGCCAGGGTAGATCTCTTTACCTGCCAAGCCAGGCAAGGGTGCGTCCAAGGCCACCACTCCAACCCAAACAGAGCACCCTAGACCCCAGGAAGGGAAGGGGCATGGGCAACACTGAAATAGTCTCCCCTTCCTTCTCCACCCCAAACACAGGCAGTGGTCCTCCCTCCTGGGTAGCAGTAGGGTGGGACTGAACCAATTATGAGCTGTTCCCAATGCACCAACCGGTGCTGGGAGCTGAGGAACTGCCGGTCACTGAGCCAGCCGAAGAGGGGGTCATTGAGGCTGTTCCAGAGGAGAAACACCGTCTGCAGGCAGAGGGGAGACAGGCAGGTGGGCTCTAGGCAGCCTCCTCTCCAGGGCTCCTCCCACCCCAGCCTGCTCACCACCCCTCAAAGATGGCCCCAGCTTTCCTACCCGCAAACCTTTGCTCGTGTCAGTTCCTCTGCTAAAACCCACTCTGGCCAGGTGCGGTGGCTCACTCCTGTAATCCCAGCACTTCGGGAGGCCGAGGTGGATGGATCACCTGAGGTCAGGAGTTCGAGACCAGCCTGGCCAACATGGCGAAACCTCGTCTCTACTAAAAATACAAAAATTAGCTGGGCATGGTGGCGGGCGCTTGTAATCCCAGCTACTTGGGAGGTTGAGACAGGAGAATCACTTGAACCAGGAAGGCAGAGGTTGCAGTGAGCTGAGATTGCGCCACTGCACTCTAGCCTGTGCAACAAGAGTGATACTCCATCTCAAAAACAAAACAAAACAAAACAAAACCCTACTTTGCCAGTCAAACCACTGCCCCCCTCAAACTCACACCCATCCAGAGCCCAGCTGGTAAATGTATGCAGCTGATAAATTCATGTATGTGAACATATTATATATATGAATACACAGAACAGCAACTATGTAAGACAGTGGCCAGGAAAGCTGATCTAGTTCCCATCGAGGAGGAGTCATCAAGGCCTCCACAGCTTTTCTTGCTGAGTCTTGGTGAACAACCTGGACTGCCCATGCCTCTGACTGGGTGGGAGCTGGCGCCTGCAATCTACCCGGCAGCCTGGACAGCCTCTAGTCTCCACCCTACACCCTCCTCCATGTTGGCCACCCAGCACTGGCCTTACCTCTCCGACCCAGAAGGCCATTTTGTTGATCTTGTACACTGATACAAAGGTGTCTACATAGTAGAGCAGGAAGACATTGTGCAGGATGGTGGTGAAGAAAGCCAGGGAGCCATAGACCGCAGCTGTGGGCAGACCCAGCAACCAGGCCTGGGGCCGATCCAGCCCCATGGCTGCAGCCCCAGCCTTAACCCCAGGAGCACCGGGGAGGGCTCATGGCCACAGGCAGTCTTGTCATCCTCGTCCCTGGGAAAGAAGGAACCAGTGAGGAACAGGGATCAATGCCAGCTCTGCTCTTAACCCCAGACCTCTGAATAATTTAAAAACTCATTTTCAACAGGAGAGTTTGTACTGACAACAGTGCTGGGAATTATGAATGAAGTACAACGGAAACAGTGCTGAGCTAGACACCACTAATCTGGGAGTGACTCGAGGAAACAGAGAGACTGTGGGAAGAGACGGCAGACACCCAGCGAGTGCTGAGCCAGGTCACGTGCCAGGGCTGAATGCTCAGTGTCTTCTTAGATCGCACTGTGTGACTTTAATGGTCTAGACGGGACAACCCTGAGCTTGGGCACACAATGCACTTACAGTAAAATGTCAGGCAGTTACCCAACCCAGGCCTTAGCCTCCTCTTCTCTAAAAGGTAAAAGGAGATTGTTATGCCTATTTTGCAAATCATAAGGATTAACTGATGTAACTCACAGAAAGCACTCACTGTTGGTATTGATACGGAAGACGGGAAGGGAAGTGCCGGAAATGGAAGGACGTAGTCCCTTTAAATGATACGGAAGTGGGGAAGGGAAGTGCTGGGTAGAGGAGGGCATGGTCCCTAGCTAGGGCTCCACCCCTGGGCCTGACCTAGGTGAGGACAGGCTTTTTTTTTTTCCTGCCCAAATGTTGCATTTCCCAAGACCACCCTGGCCCACCACGCCCCCATCCAGTGCTTATAAAAACCCTGACACCCAGCCGGGTGCAGTGGCTCATGCCTGTAATCCCGGCACTTTGGGAGGCCAAGGTGGGCGGATCACCTGAGGTCAGGAGTTCAAGACGAGCCTGGCTAACACACCAGCCTGGCTAACACGGTGAAACCCCATCTCTACTAAAAATACAAAAAATTAGCCGGGCGTGGTGGCACATGCCTGTAATCCCAGCTACTAGGGAGGCTGAGGCAGGAGAATTGCTTGAACCTGGGAGGCGAGCACTCTAGCCTCAGCACCAAGAGCGAAACTCAGTCTCAAAAAGAAATTTTTAAAAAAAAGAAAGAAGCACTCTAAGCCTGCAAGTCCCCACCACTACCCCCGTGGGCCACAGTGATCCTATCTTGTCCCAAGGCAGGAGGATGGCCTTTCCCTGAGGCCCTTGAGCCCCCTGAAGAAAATGCATTTCTTTTTTTCCTCAAAGCTTTATTCAGGTCTAACTGACAAACACTAAACTGCACAGTTTTCAAAGCATGCAGGCTGATAAGTTACACCATATGCATGTACCTGTGAAATCATCACCACAAACAAGATAATGAACACATCCATCACCCTACATTCCCTCGACACTGCTTTTCTGAGTAACATATGGAAAAAAGTCATACGGGGCTAGGCACAGTGGCTCACACTTGTAATCCCAGCACTTTGGGAGGCCAAGGTGGGCAGATCACTTGAGGCCAGGAATTTGAGACCAGCCTGGCCAGCAGGGCAAAACCCCGTCTCTACTAAAAATACAAAAATTAGCCGGTGTGGTGGCAGACACCTGTAGTCCCAGCTACTCGGGAGCTGAGGCAGGAGAATTGTTTGAACCCTGGAGGTGGAGGTTACAGTGAGCCCAGATCGCACTCCAGCCTGGGTGACAGAGCGAAACTCTCCCTCAAAAATAAATAAATAAAAATAAAATTTTTAAAATGGTGAGCACTAAAGCTTTAGAGATTTATCACTATCCAACCTCTCAGCCCTTCTGTAAAATGGAGAGGCCCCACGCCCGCCACACAGGGATGAGGTGGCATTAAATGAGATGCCCTCTGAAGGTGCCTGGGGATGTAAAGCACGATGTCCACCTCTGTTACCATCCTTAGCTGGGTCACTTACTCCAGTTCCTCCAGGGCTTTCAGAACTCTCCTGCCTTTGTCAAAAGGGAGTGAAGCCCCCCCATCCCTACCCAGATGCCCAGTGATCTGTCCTTGTTGCTGGTGAAGGTGAGCCCTGCACACAAGGTCCCCAGCCTCCCCCAGCCACCTCCCTGCACCCACACTGGGTAGAAGAAGGTTAATGAGATGGAACAGGTATGACTTTTGCCATCATCAGGGCCTGGGTTCAAATCCCAACTGTACTTCCTACTAAGAGTGTAACCTCAGGCAATTCAACCCTTCTGGGCTGGAGTTTCCTCATCTATAAAATGGGGTAATAATGCCTATCCTTTTCTTTTTCTTTTTTTTTTTGAGATGGAGTCTTGCTTTGTTGCCCATGCCAGAGTGCAGTGTTGCCATCTTGTCTCATTGCACGCCATTGAGTTCATGCCATTCATGAACACCTGGGTTCTCATTGCACGCCTGGGTTCATGCCATTCTCCTGCCTCAGCCTCCCGAGTAGCTGGGACTACAGGCGCCCGCCACCACGCCCAGCTAATTTTTTGTATTTTTCATAGCGATGGGGTTTCACCGTGTTAGCCGGGATGGTCTCGGTCTCCTGACCTGGTGATCCGCCCGCCTTGGCCTCAAAGTGCTGGGTTACAGGCGAGAGCCACCAGGCCCGGCCAGGGTTACTCTTTTGGGGGTTTATCTTCCAGATTCCACTCCTCCATCAGGAAACAGCCTTCCCCAACTTGCCCTCCCCACCCTCAATCCACCCAGCAGAGAACAGCAACCCCACCTCTCCCAGGGAAGAACAGCTTGGAGCCCACACCAGCCTTGCATAAGCTGGTGAGAAATCTTGTAACCTGCAACCAACTCCACCCACCTTCCTGGCACCTTCCAAGACCCATCCTCATGGTCCCAGCTGGTGGCCTTGAGCCAGTCACTCCCTCTCCCTGAGCCTCAGGCTCCTCGCCCACAAAGTGGGGATGTTATGTCAACCTCTTAGATGGCTGGGGGCTGAAATGCAAAAGGAATATAAAGCCAAGTGCCTGCTACATGGAAGACCCTCAACACACAACAGCTATTTTTTTTTTTTTTTAAGATGGAGTCTCGCTCTGTCACCCAGGCTGGAGTGCAGTGGCACAATCTCAGCTCACTGCAACCTCCGCCTCCCAGGTTCAAGCGATTCTCCTTCCTCAGTCTCCTGAGTAGCTGGGATTACAGGCGCCCACCACCACACCCGGCTAATTTTTTATTTTTTATTTTTTAATTTTTTTGTAGAGATGGAGTCTTCCTCTGTCGCCCAAGCTGGAGTGCAGTGGCACGATCTAGGCTCACTGCAACTTCCACCTCCTGGGTTTAAGCCATGCTCCTGCCTCAGCCTCCTGAGTAGCGGGGATTACAGGCGCACACGACCACACTCGGCAAAATCTTTTTTTTTTTTTTTTTCTTTTTTTGAGACGGAGTCTCACTCTATCACCCAGGCTGGAGTGCAGTGGCGCGATCTCGGCTCACTGCAAGCTCCACCTCCCGGGTTCACACCATTCTCCTGCCTCAGCCTCCCGAGTAGCAGGGACTACAGGCGCCTGCCACCGCACCTGGCTAATTTTTTGTATTTTTAGTAGAGACAGGGTTTCACAGTGTTAGCCAGGATGGTTTCAATCTCCTGACCTCATGATTCATCCGCCTCGGCCTCCCAAAGTGTTGGGATTACAGGCGTGAGCCACTGCGCCCGGCCATAATTTTTTTTGTATATTTAGTAGAGACGGGGTTTCACCATATTGGTCAGGCTGGTTTCGAACTCCTGACCTCGTGATCCGCCCGCCTCGGCCTCCCAAAGTACTGGGATTACAGGCATGAGCCACCACGCCCAGTCTAATTTTTGTATTTTTCGTAGAGATGGGGTTTCACCATATTGGCCAGGCTGGTCTCGAACTCCTGACCTCAAGTGATCTGCCTGCCTCGGCCTCCCAAAGTGTCGGGATTACAGGTGTGAGCCACTACTGTGCCCGGCCCACAGTAGCCATTTTCTTTTTTCTTTCTTTTTTTTTTTTTTTTTGAGACAGAGTCTCCCTCCATTGCCCAGCCTGAAGTGCGGTGGCGCAATCTCAGCTCACTGCAACCTCTGCCTCCCAGGTTCAAGCAATTCTCCTGCTTCAGTCTCCCGAGCAGCTGGGATTACAGGCATGTGCCACCACACCCAGCTAATTTTTGTATTTTTAGTAGAGACGGGGTTTCACCATGTTGATCAAGCTGGTCTTCAACTCATGACCTCGTGATCCGCCCGCCTCAGCCTCCCAAAGTGCTGGGATTACAGGCATGAGCCACTGCGCCTGGCCTACAGTAACCATTTTCTTTCCATTTCTCTGAAGTTTGGTTTCATGATATTTATTTATTTATTTTTATTTTTTATTTTTTTGAGACAGGGTCTCACTCTGTCGCCCAGGCTAGAGTACAGTGGTGGGTTCTTGACTCACTGCAACCTCCGCCTCCCAGGTTCAAGAAATTTTCCTGCCTCAGCCTCCCAAGTAGTTGGGATCACAGGCGTGCGCCACCATGCCTGACTAATTTTTGTATTTTTTGTACAGACAGGGTTTCGCCACGTTGGCCAGGCTGGTCTTGAACTCCTGACCTCAAGTGATCCTCCCGCCTTGGCTTCCTGAAGTGCTGGGGTTACAGGAGTGAGCCACCGTGTGGTTTCATGATCTTTAAAGATCAGTCACTAGGTGGAGCGTGGTGGCTTATGCCTATAATTTTAGCACTTTGGAAGGCCAAGGCAGAAGGATCACTTGGGGCCAGGAGTTAGAGACCGGCTGGGGCAACATCAATCAAAAATAAAAATCATTGACCTTTCTGCCAAATCCATGATTGAAATTGTCTTTCCAGAACCCAAACTTTATGCCTTTTGCCACCTGGAATATCTTAGCCCCTCTTGTCTGCCATCCATCAAATTCCTTTTTAAATGCCACCTCCACACTTTTTTTCATGCTGTTCCTGCCACCTAAGATACCCTAGGATAACTATATACTATTCCTCAGCCATACAGGGTATGCTTGGGTTTTACATCCATCATCAGACCCCCTACAGCTCTGTTACTATCTGCATTCACGCTTTGTCCATGAAGAAACCAAGGCTCTGAAGATTCAATAACAGGCCCAAGTCACAGAGCTAGTAGGTGCTGGAGTCAAGATTCAAAACAGGTTTTGACTAAAACAACAGCATTCTCACTTCATTATCCCCCCACACCCTGCCCCCATCTTATCAAATCCCGCTCATCCAGTGTCACGGCTTTCTCAAGCACACCCAATCAAGTGTTCTCTCCCGATTTCCCCTTTATCAGGCATCCAGATGCCTCCCTTCCCCTCCTCCAGCCCACAGGCTTCTTAAAAGCAGGGCTGATGCCGGGCGCGGTGGCTCACGCCTGTAATCTCAGCACTTTGAGAGGCTGACACGGGTGGATCACGAGGTCAGGAGATCGAGACCATCCTGGCTAACATGGTGAAACCCCGTCTCTACTAAGAATACAAAAATTTGCCAGGCATGGTGGCGGGCGCCTATAGTCCCAGCTACTTGGGAGGCTGAGGCAGGAGAATGGCGTGACCCCAGGAGGCGGAGCTTGCAGTGAGATAGCGCCACTGCACTCCAGCCAGGACGACAGAAGGAGACTCTGTCTCTAAAAAAAATTAAAAATAAAAATAAAAAATAAAGCAGGCCTGGGTTAGTCCCACCCTTGATCCCTGCCCTTTGCCTGCACCAGGCTCCCTCAGCGTGCTCAGTCAATCCCTGCTGGGTCGACTGGCCCCTAAAAGGTCAGTATGAACATCCTCAGCCCTAGGCAACAGCAGCAGCAGTCATAGGAAAACTGTCATCCTCAGACCCCACTGTGCCCCTAGCTCTGTGTTCTGCTTAACTGTGGGAGTCAGAGAGAAGGGGCAGCCTGGGAAGCTTGATGTGCCTCTCTGAGTAAGATACTAAAGCAAGGCAACAGGTACAAAGAATAGTGATCATAACAGAGAAACATTTATTAAGCTTTCGCCGGGTGCACAGCGCTGTGCTAAGAGACACAAACAATCTGGGAAGAGAGCTCAGAGCAGCAAGGGAGAAAGGGGCCATATCACGAAAGGTTTTGTAAACCTTGTACAAGATTCTATGCTGAGGACAACAGGTGGGGCGCTGGGAGTGGGGAAGTGACAGAATCAGATCTGTTTGGAAGGAGCCCTCTGGCAGGTGTCAAAACTCTTCTCCTTCACCCTGTCAGGCCCCTGGGAGGTAAAGACTGGAAAGGGATGGAAGCAGCAGCATCTCCCTGATTTCTGAACCAACCTATGGTGGGTGGGGGAGGCTGATGAATTTAGTGGAGGGAACCAAGAATGCCGAACTGGGCCCCTGGAGTGAGGGGCATCAGACTGTACAAGAGGTATTAGTGCAGAGGGAAAAGCTACAAATAGGCATAATTCGGAGTCAGGAGCCCTGGGTCAGGTGTGAACATTATCTTTAACTTACTATCTTAGTCTATTCCTACATCTGTGAAGCAGTGAAAACAATTCCATTCTCTGCCTGTCCTCAGAAATACCAAATGAACAAATGAGCATTAAAGGTATAATATGTGCCCTTTTGTCAACAGGCAGCTGACCTCTGAATTGTCTGCTGTGTTTCCTGTTTCACTATCGGGGTCATGTCTTCCTGCCCAGTCTCCCCACAGCAGGGTCTAGCACTAGGGTTGGGGGGTGGGGGGCCCATCCTCCTCCTCCGGCTGGAAATGAGTTTTCAACTTGTTGAGATGGGGACCTTCTCCCTCCCCCTCCCCCTCCCCCACAGGTCCTTGAAGAAGCGACAGCTTCACCTCAGGACCACCCACCCCTCCCAAGCCACTGAGAAGTTTGGGATCAGCCCAGGAGCTCTTCACTCAATAGCTGGTGCTGAAACACGTGTAGGGCTGCTCTCCACCGCCTGCACATTAAAATCACCTGAGGAGCTGTGCAATAATACCGAGGCCCAGGCCTCACCCAGCGCAGTTAAACCGGAATCTCTCAGGGCGGGCCCAGCATCGGTGTTTTTTTTTAAGCTCCCCAAGTGCCACCAGGGTTAAATGCCTTTATGCTAATAGAACGGAACCCAGCCTGACCAGTGCATCCCTCGATCCCAGACCGCCAGGGAGCTATCTGACCCACTGCATCCCTTTCCTCCAGACCCCCGGAGAGCCCTTCTGCGAGGATTCCACCCTTGCCCCCTTGAAGCCCGCTTCTTCCTCCCGGACCACAGAACTCTTCCAATCCACAATATGATCACCCCAAAGACCCCCGCAGATAGCCCCCATGACTCCCAGAGCGTAAAGCGTTCCCCTCCCACTCGGGCCTGTAGTTTGTGCCAGATCGGCCCCAGCCCAGCCCGCTCCCGCCCGCGAGCCCCGGCCTCTGGCCAGCTTCTCACCGCAATCGTAGCCGGCGAAGCCTAATCCTACGGCTGGCGGGAGCCAGGTGCAAGCCAGTGCGCCTGCGCGCGCTTCTAGGGCTTCCCCAGCCTCTCCCTCCCCCCGCCCCGCCCAGCGATTGGCTCCGCGCGGCCCCGGGACCGCAGCTCCGGCAGGTGACCGCACCTGAAGCTGCCGCCGCCATGTTTGTCACGGGCGCTTGCCCTTAGCGATCAAAAGGAGATACTAGCAAATAGGGTCAGGTTGCTGGATTCTTGACCGGCTCAACCCCTCTCCTTTACCTCCACAATAGCTTAATGTAATTTCAGTGCAAACCAGCACGTTTTTTTCTAAGCGCTCACCTTCCTTCCCTCCTTGCCTAGTACTTGTTGGGAGAACAAAGAGAGTTCAGCATCTCCATGGAGTCTTGTGGTCTGAGCGGATGCACAGCTGCAGCTGACTTGGAGGTGGCAGCTCCTTCATGAGCCCTTCAAGGGTGGAAAGGTCCAGGTTGAGCTGTGGGCACCAGGGCTCTAGCCACAGGAGCCAGACCTGAAGGTGGGGAACAGCACCAGGGCCTGAATGAGCAACCACGCAGCCCAACCTCCTTGTATTAATAATGGTAATATAACATAAAAAGTACTGAGTGCTTGCTATGTGCCCTGTACTACATTCAGAACAACACGTGCATTCTCTTGTTGAGTCCTCACATCATTCCCAGCAGGTAGGCGCTTTTATCCCCATTTTATACGTGAGGAAACTACGGTTCAGAGAGATTCAATGACATGTAAACAGCAAGGGCCCAGTCGAGGTGGAACCCAGCTATCCTGACTCCACATGGGAGTCTTTCCTCTTCCCACACCTGCACAATTCCTCAAAATCAAGTTTTGTTTTGCTCAATGTAGGCTGTGGAGGATGTTTTATGTTTTCTCCCAACTGGCCTGTAAGCCTGGATAGGTTTTTGGGCAAACAAACAGCACACATTCCAGCTCTGCCTGGTTCCCCTACCTTGGGACACAGGGCAAAGAGCCTATGGCCTTTGGCTTCTGGGGGACCTGGAACTCATCCCCTAGCTCCACCACTTCCTTGCTAAGGGACTCCTTTATTGTTATTGTTATTATTATTATTATTATTTGAAACAGGGTCTTGCTCTGTTGCTCAGGCTAGAGTGCAGTGGTGGCATGATCTCAGCTCACTGCAACCTCCACTTCCCTGGCTCAGATGATCCTCTCACCTCAGCCTCCCAAGTTGCTGGGACCACCAGCTCACTCCACCATGCCTGGCTAATTTCTAAAATTATCTGTAGAGATGGAGTCTCACTATGTTACCCAGGGTGGTCTTGAATTCCTGGGCTCAAGGGACCCTCCCGCTTCAGCCTCCCAAAGTGCTGGAATGATAAGCGTGAGTCACTGCACCTGGCTGGGGCCCTCCTTTTGTGAGCCTGTTTTATGCTTTACAGGGATTTTTCAGGCATTAAATGAGAAACAAGGGTGTAGGAGCTTTGTGAACTGCTCATCCTTATGACCTTCATTAATGGTTGTCAGCTAACTCCCTGCAACAGGAATATTGTCCTCCTCCTCCTAACAACCACAGCAAATGGTCCAATGTAGTGTCCAGGGGCTAGAGCCTGGACAAATGGTCTAGTGTCCAGGGGCTAGAGCCTATTCAACCAGTTCCTGGGGAGCCCCCAGGGACGCCATGAACCTTGCCCCCAGAATCCATTTCCCTCTAACCTGTCTCATTTCCCTCCTTCCCAATCTCTTTCAGATACCCTTCACACTTCCCATGTCACCCCAAGCCACACATAGACACACACACACACACATACACCCATCTCCCTTCTAGACTTAGACAATTGCTGAAACCCCTCCTGATCCAGAAGGCCTCATGAGTAGAAGACAGGTGATCATTTTGCCCCTCTCCTCACCTCTTACCTCCATCTGTGCTTTCCTGGCTGTGAGAACAGAAAACCCAGCATTCAGCCTGGAGTCCAGCACACTGGGATCTCCATACATTTGCTAAAGGAGTCTCCCCGCCTTTCTATCTTTGGCTAGCACGTGCCTTTATTTCAAAGCAAACCCGAGTCTTTACTTAGCCCTCCCTGGGTGTCCAGTGGGGAAATGGAAATGGAGAGGGCTGGCAGGGGCCAGGGCTGAATGTGACCCAGGAGAAAAGACCTTTGGTCCCTCACGGCCGGGCGCAGTGGCTCATGCCTGTAATCCTAGCACTTTGGGAGGCTGAGGTGGTCGGATCACGAAGTCAGGAGATAGAGACCATCCTGGCCAACATAGTGAAACCGTGTCTCAACTAAAATACAAAAATTAGCTGGGCGTGGTGGCGTGTGCCTGTAATCCCAGCTACTTGGGAGGCTGAGGGAGGAGAACTGTTTGAACCAGGGAATCGGAATGTGCAGTGAGCCGAGATCGCTCACTCCAAATCAATCACTGCACCCCAGCCTAGCAACAGAGTGAGACTCTGGCTCAAAAAAAAAAAAAAAAAAAGAAAGAAAAGACCTTTGGTCCCTCATGTTGCACTTAATGCCACACAGTTACACTCTGAGGCCCCTCAACTCTCTGATTATAAAGACAACATAGCCAGTTACCTTTTATGTCAGCACCAGGACAGGGCCTTGTAATTCTCTCTGATTTCTCTTTATGGTTGCCAATCACAGAGCTAACTAGGAGGAGGGGACATGCGATGAACTAGAGGCCATATCACCTCCCTAACTCCTTGAACCATACTGGAGTCCCCAGACCATGGGACAGATAGATTATGCACTGTCTTTGAAATTCTCTCCTCCCTTCACTTCCCACCTCTCTGATCTAGTTTCTGCCATGTTCTCTTCCTACATAATAATTCCTCTTCAGTCCCCTTCACTGTGGCACTTTCTCCCAGGGCCTCTAAAGGAAAAGGGCGGGTGTCCCAAGTTTCCATCTTTTATACTCATATATTCACTCAAACTTTTAATCCATGCCAGGCCACAGGCTGTGAGGTAAAGGGGACTTCAAAAACAAGATTGCTGGCTGGGCGCGGTGGCTCATGCCTGTAATCCCAGAACTTTGGGAGGCCAAGGTGGGCGGATCACCTGAGGTCAGGAGTTCAAAACTAGCCTGGCCAATATGGTGAAACCCCGTCTCTACTAAAAAATACAAAAAAAAATTAGCCTGGCGCGGTGGTGGGTGCCTGCTATCCCAGCTACTCGGGAGGCTGAGGCAGGAGAATCGCTTGAACCCGGGAGGCAGAGGTTGCAGTGAGCTGAGATCGCGCCACTGCACTCCAGCCTGTCGACACAGCAAGACTCTGTCTCAAAAAATAAAAAATAAAAAAACAAGATAGCTACCTGAAAGAGGTGTTGAGTGGGGTCCAAATAAGCTGGCAGCCACAATGTCAATAGTGTGATAGGGACCAGATGGAGACAAGCCCAGGGTGCCAGTTGTTATGGTAATTTCACCTACTACCTTTTTCTTCATGACTACTTCCACACCTCCCATGTCCAGCCTGAACAGAATGTCCAGCGTGGCCCACTCGAATTCACCATTCCTTAAACTTCCAATCTCCCTCCAGCGTTTTCTACCTCCAGGACTGCCTTAACTGCCCATCCAGGTGGCCAAGCCAGAAACGTGTGCATCCACCCTCCATCCTACGCGCTTCATCAAAACAACCATCTTGGATCAAGCCCAGGTGAATCCTACTCGCATCTCTCTTTTCCATCCCTTGCTCCTGTTTGGTTCTCAGCTTTCCTAAGCTAACATAAGAACCTCCTCCATGACTGGCTTCTACCCCCTCGCTCTCTAATCTGTCCTCCATTTTGCCCTCAAGTGAGCTTCTGATCACAAGGTTCCCTGAGCAAAAGCTTCTCAGGTTGCTATATACTGAAATTTTTCATGGCCAGATGCAGTGGCTCACACCTGTAATCCCAGCACCTTGGGAGTCTGAGGCAGGAGGATTGCTTGAGCCCAGGAGTTGGAGACCAGCCTGAGCAACAGAGTGAGACTCCATCTCTACAGAAAATTTTAAAAAATAAAAAAAAACCGGTCGGGCACAGTGGCTCACAACTGTAATCCCAGCACTTTGGGATGCCAAGGCGGGCAGATCACAAGGTCAGGAGATCAAGACCATCCTGGTCAACATGGTGAAACCCTGTCTCTACTAAAATACAAAAAATTAGCCAGGCATGGTGGTGCACGCCTGTAGTCCCAGCTACTCGGGAGGCTGAGGCAGGGGAATCGCTTGAACCCAGGGGGTTGCAGTGAGCCGAGATTGCGCCACTGCACTCCAGCTTGGTGACAGAGCAAGACTCTGTCTCAAAAATAAAAAATAAAAAAATAGGGCCGGGCGCAGTGGCTCAAGCCTGTAATCCCAGCACTTTGGGAGGCCGAGACGGGCGGATCATGAGGTCAGGAGATCGAGACCATCCTGGCTAACACAGTGAAACCCCGTCTCTACTAAAAAATACAAAAATCTATCTGGGTGAGGTGGCAGGCGCCTGTAGTCCCAGCTACTCAGGAGGCTGAGGCAGGAGAATGGCGTGAACCCGGAAGGCGGAGCTTGCAGTGAGCCGAGATCGCGCCACTGCACTCCAGCCTGGGGCACAGAGCAAGACTCCGTCTAAAATAAATAAATAAATAAAATAAAATAAAATTAAAAAATAATCGGCCCAGTGTGGTGAGGGAGGACCAGGCACAGTGACTCACACCTGTAATCCCAGCACTTTGGGAGGCTGAGGTGGGTGGATCACCTGAGGTCAGGAGTTCAAGGCCAGCCTGGCCAACATGGTGAAACCCCATCTCTACTAAAAATACAAAAAACATTAGCTGGGTGTGGTGGCGGGTGCCTGTAATTTACCCCGCTACTCAGGAGGCTGAGGCAGGAGAATTGCTTGAACCCAGGAGGCGGAAGTTGCAGTGAGCCCAGATCGCACCATTGCACTCCAGCCTGGGCAACAGAGCGAGACTCTGCCTCAAATAATAATAATAAAACAAAATAAAAATTTTAAAAATCTGTGGAATGTGGTGAGGCATACCTGTAGTTCCAACTATTCAGGAGGCTGAGGTGGGAGGATTGCTTGAGCCCAGGAGGTTGAGGCTGCAGTATGCCATGACAACACCACTGCTCTCCAGCCTGGGTGACAGAGTGAGACTCTTGTCACAAAAAAAATTTTTTTTCATAACAAAGTGCTGGGGAGCAATGGGGGTAGGAAATACCCTGGGGTGTATCATTAGTGCAAGCAATAGACAATTTGAACTAGCTTAAATAAAGAAGGAATTTACTGGCCTGTGTAACTTAAGTCCAGGACCCTTTCTGATTTCTGTCCTGGGAAAAGCAAAAAATTCCCTCCACCCAACAAGAAAATAAAGTCCTAGGCTTGCCTTACACTGGCCCATATCACTTCAAGGGCTAGCCCAAGTCAATCACTATGGCCAGACGGATGGCTGTGCTGAAAGGTTTAGCCCTAAATCACCCAAACCTAAGGATAGAATAGACTCAACTCCACCAGAACTACTTTACTGAGAATAGATAAGGTGTGGGACTCCAAAATACTGGGGGTTGGTACTGGAATCAGGGTGAACAAATGCTGAGAAACTCACAGCTTGGCCATTATTTTTCTCATTTTGCCTGAAAACTTCCTTCCCAGGCTCCACTTGAGCTTAGTCTTGCTTGCGCCCCACTCTCCACCCAGAAGAGATGGAAAACCTGGCCAGTGCCATGGGCCCACTACTAAACTCCAGGCTGGGGTGTGGTCAGTCCATGGATAGCCATGAACACTCCGGGGTGCTGGGATTTTAGGACAGAGACAAAGTTATAAACAGGAGCAGGCAGAGGTATTAGTTTCCTACTGATGCTGTAACAAATCACGACAAACTTGGTGGCTGAAAACAAGACAAGTTTATTTTCTTACGGTCCTGGAGGTCAGAAGTCTGAAATGGCTCACTGGCAAGGGCTTGGCAGGACCACATTCCTTCTGGAGGTTCCAGGGGAGAATCCACTTTCTTGTTTTTCAGCTTCCAGAGGCTGCCCGCATTCCCTGGCTCATGACCCTCTTCCGTATTCAAAGCCAGTGATGGCTGATCAAGTCTTTCACTCACTGTATCACTCTGACTCTGATTCTGCCACCTCACTATTCCACAGTTAAGGACCCTTTTGATTACATTGGGTCCACCCAGATAACCCAGGATCATCTCATCTTAAGGTCAGCTCATTAGCAATCTTACTGCCATCTGCAATCTAAATTCTCCCTTGTCACGTAATATAACATATTCACAGGTTTCCAGGGTGACATTATGAACATCTTTGTGGGGGGATGTCTTTTAAATTCTCTCATTCTGGGACCAGTCCTTAGAGCAGATAGAGGGCGAGGTTCCTAAGGAGTATTGTAATGGGGCCCTTGAGATTTCAGCACCCCAGCATTTTAATTTTTTTTTTTTTGAGATGGAGTCTCGCTCTGTCGCCCAGGCTGGAGTGCAGTGGCGCGATCTCGGCTCACTGCAAGCTCCGCCTCCCGGGTTCACACCATTCTCCTGCCTCAGCCTCCCGAGTAGCTGGGACTACAGGCGCCCACAACCGCGCCCGGCTAATTTTTTGTATTTTTAGTAGAGACGGGGTTTCACCGTGGTCTCGATCTCCTGACCTTGTGATCCGCCCGCCTCGGCCTCCCAAAGCGCTGGGATTACAGGCGTGAGCCACCGCGCCCGGCCAACATTTTAATTTTTTTTCCTGAGCAATCAATACTTAAAATTTTGCCAGGCGCTGTGGCTCACGCCTGTAATCCCAACACTGGGAGGCCGAGGCGGGTGGATCACCTGAGGTCAAGAGTTCGAGACCAGCATGGCCGACATGGTGAAACCCTGTCTCTAATAAAAATACAAAAATTAGCCGGGCGTGGTGGCGCGCGCCTGTAATCCCAGCTACTCGGGGGGGCTGAGGCAGGAGAATCGCTTGAACACTGGAGACGGAGGTTGCAGTGAGCCGAGATCGCGCCACTGCCCTTCAGCCTGACAACAGAGCGAGACTCCATTTAAAAGAAAAAAAAAGGCCAGGCATGGTGGCTCAAGCCTGTAATCCCAGCACTTTGGGAGGCCGAGACGGGCGGATCATGAGGTCAGGAGATCGAGACCATCCTGGCTAACACGGTGCAACCCCGTCTCTACTAAAAAATACAAAAATCTATCTGGGTGAGGTGGCAGGCGCCTGTAGTCCCAGCTACTCAGGAGGCTGAGGCAGGAGAATGGTGTGAACCCGGGAGGCGGAGCTTGCAGTGAGCTGAGATCCAGCCACTGCACTCCAGCCTGGGTGACAGAGCGAGACTCCGTCTCAAAAAAAAATAAATAAATAAAAGAAAAGAAAAGAAAAAAAAAAGTAAAGTTTTTTGTATATATTTGTGGGGTACATATATTTTGATACAGGCATGCAATGTGAACTAATCACATAACGGAGAGTGGAGTGCCCCCCCAGCATTTTTAGTGACTAAAAAAATGAGAATTCTGATCACAGGCCAGGCATGGTGGCTCAAGCCTGTAATTCCAGTACTTTGGAAGGCCAAGGCAGGATGATCACCTGAGCCCAGGAGTTCAAGACCAGCCTGCGTAACATAGTGGGATTTCATCTCTACAAAAATTAGTCGAGTGTGGTGGTGCACACCTATGATCCCAGTTACTCAGGAGGCTGAGGTAGGAGGATCACTTCAGCCCAGTCAAGGTTGCGGTGAGCCCTGGTCATGCCACTGCACTCCAGCCTGGGTGACAGAATGAGAGCTTGTCAAAAAGAAAAAAAAAAGAAAAAAAAATTCTGATCAGGCCCATGCTTGCTTGCACATGCTAACCACTCACTTTTTGCCCAATATTCCTTGTTCCCACAATATAAACTGCTGATGTGCTGTTTCTTGGTCAAGCAGGAGGAGATAACTTCGGGGTCATGAAAAAAAATTGCAGGCCAGGCGCAGTGGCTCACACCTGTAATCCCAGCACTTTGGGAGGCCGAGGCAGGTGAATCACCCAAGGTCTGGAGTTCAAGACCAGCTGACCAATATGGTGAAACCCTGTCTCTACTAAAAATACAAAAAATTAGCCGGCCATGGTGGTGCATGCCTGTAATCCCAGCTACTTGGGAGGCTGAGGTAAGAGAATGTCTTGAACCCGGGAAGCGGAAGTTGCAGTGAGCCGAAATCCCACCATTGCACTCCAGCCTGGGCAAAAAGAGCAAAACTCCGTCTCAAAAAAAAAAAAAAAAAAAATTGCAGAAGGAATGAATGCCTTGAAGGACATTGTGACCAGTTGCTGATGCCCACAAGTCTGGTGGCTCAAGGGGTTATCTGAGACTGAAGAAACACAGACATTTACCCTGGGTTCCCTGAAATGCCACCTCCGTCACTCCTTAGTCGCATAAAAACTCCCTGCTGCTTTTTGAGACAGGCGCTCAGTCTGTCACCCAGGCTGGTGTGCAGTGGTGTGAACACAGCTCACTGCAGGCTTGATCTCCTGGGTTCAAGCGATCCTTCTGCCTCAGCGCCCCAAGTAACTGGAACTACAGGCACATGCCATTCCTGCTTAATTTTTTTTTTTTTTTTTTTGTAGAGCCAGGGTTTCACCATGTTGCCCAGGCTGATCTCAAACTCCTGAGCTCAAGCAATCTGCCTGCCTCATCCTCCAAAAGTGCTAGGATTACAGGTGTAAGCCACCCTGCTGCTTCTTTCTGTTAAGAGGGATTTGAGAGATTTGCTCTCCCGCCTTCTGACTGGCCAAATCAAATAAACCTTTCTCTGTCTCCCACTGCTTGGCCTTAGCTGTGCATCAGGTTCACAGCCTGAATTTGGGGTTCTATGACAGTGTTAGAGTCCAAATGAAACCCTAACTAGGCCCCCTTTTTCCATCCACTGCCCAGCTCCAGCACCTGCTCTCAAAAGGACTGGCCCAAATTAAGACTTGGAGCAGTGGCTCAGTCACAAATAGCGTGACATCACCAGGGTGAGTCACCAAAGGGTGGCCACCACCAGAGGGTAGCTGAGTTTTGAGGGATACTGAGAACCCAGAAGAACCTTTCTGTCAGGGCTGCTGCTGATGCTGCTTCAGTCAACAGGAGATGGGGAAGGAAAGTGTGGCAACATGGCAGCCCTGCAGCTGGCAGAGGGTTTCAGTTTTAATCATTCATAACTACCACTCTCCCCACTGGAAAAGGAAGAGGTGCAGGGGTTGTGACCCACACCAGAAGGGACTGGAACTCAGACAGGGCTCACCCCATCTGGATGAAGCAATCTTCTTGGCTTCATTAAAATGGCTTCTGGGTTTTGACATCAGTTGGACTGGGTTCAAATGCCACTGTGGTATTTACAGGCTGTAGGAACCTGGGACAGTGGCCGAACTTCTCTGAGCCTCTGGTTCCTTATCTACTAAGAGAGAATGACATCACTATGCACTTCATATAGCTATTAAGAATTTAAAGTAGGCCGGGTGCAATAGCTCATGCCTGTAATCCCAAAACTTTGGGAGGCCAAGGTGGGCGGATCACGGAGTTGGGAGTTCAAGACCAGCCTGGCCAATATGGTGAAACCCCATCTCTACTAAAAAATACAAAACTTAGCCAGGTGTCGTGGCGCACACATGTAGTCCCAGCTACTTGGGAGGCTGAGGCAGAAGAATCGCTTAAACCTGGGAGGCGGAGTTTGCAGTGAGCCAAGATCGTGCCACTGCACTCCAGCCTGGGCGACAGAGCAAAATTCTGTCTCAAAAAAAAAAAGAAAGAAAATAATTTAAAGTAGCCAGGCATGATGGCTCACACCCGTAATCCCAGCACTTTGGGAGGCCAAGGAGGGTGGATTACTTGAGGTCAGTTCAGGACCAGCCTGGCCAACATGGTGAAAACCTGACTCTACTAAAAATACAAAAATTAGTGGGGGGTGGAGGTGCACTTGTAATCCCAGCTACTTGGGATTGGGAGGCTGAGGTGGTAGAATCGCTTGAACCTGGTAGACGGTGGCTGCAGTGAGCTGAGATCACGCCACTGCACTCCAGCCTAGGCAACAGAGCAAGACCCCATCTAAAAAAAAAAAACAAACAAACAAAACCAAGTGCCTATCTAACATTCTAGAGTGGGAGGACTTTGAGGCAGTCTGCCAGAAGCCCCAGCATAGGTGGGCAATAAGACCACCATTGTGAGCATGAGTCTTGAGACTCGGGGTTGAATTTTGCCCTTACTATAGCCAGCTGTGTGAGTTGGGATGAGTTATTTAACCTACATAAGCTCCACTCACTGAATACACTGGACACCAACTCTGAGGCAAGCAGCTTTTTTGCTATGGAAAGCAGAGATAATATCAGCACCCCCTTCCCCGAGTTGACATAACTTGCAGTTAGATTCTCCCAGACAACTTGATTCAGTGTCTGGTGTGCAGGAGTTTCACTCAAATGTGAGGGTAACCCAATCCACCTGCAGGTGCTAGGAGGTTGTAGAAAGCCATCAGTGATACTGTAGGGAGGGCATCCTTGACCTCAGGCCTCTGCCTCTAGGTTGGGGCCACTACGACCAGTACCAGTACGGTTCACCCAGGTGTAGACAGACGCTGGTGGCTCCTGGCCAGCTCAAGGTGTTTGCTTTCGCCTGGTAACCAGGAGGTGTGGCTGAGGCAGGGCATGGAGCAGAGCAACTCAGCTACAAAGTGCGGAGAGGAGCCCCGCTCTGGATCCCGCTGGCTCCCCAAGGCTGAAGGAGACAAGTGAGTGGGGAGTCACTGGGAAGAGCATTCGGGCCGAGGGCTTGAAAAGGCTCCTTATTGTCTGCCGGGAGCGTGGGGCTCTGCCCGACCTTGGGACAAGAGGCGAGGTGGGGAGCTGAATGTCCGATTCGGGATGAGTTCCCCCAAACCCATGAACCGGCGTCCGGGGGAACCGGGCCACAGGGACAGGAGGCGGTTAAGTAGAAAATCTGTCCGCACACCCCTCCCTCTGCCGCAGGGCTGGATCCGGAGGAGCCCCCAGTAGGAACGGCAGCCGCTTGGGGGGCCGACTATGTACGCGTACAGCTGGCTGCCGCCCAGGCAGGGCGTCTGGCCGCCGCCGCAGCCGCTCACCTGCACCTACCTGGCCGCCCCTCTGCTACTGCCCCCAATCCAGGCCCACAGCTTCCGCAGCCGGCCAAGGAGCCTGCACGCGGGCGAGTGGGCGGCCCCTCGGGAATACCACCGTTTCTACTGCCCCGCCGCGCCACCCGAGGCCGCGCCGCCCTGGTGGGCCTTGCCCTCCGGCCTACCCCGCGGCCCCGCGCCGGCCCTGCCCCGCCTGAGGGCGGGAGCCCGCAAGCCGAGCTACGCTGGGGACGCGTGGAACGCGCGCAGGGCCAGCCCCTACAGCTTCCGGACTTCGTGCGCCGGGAGCTGCGGCGCGCGTACGGCACCTACCCCCGCGCCGACGTGCGCGTCACCCAGCGCCGCGGCCAGTTCCTGTTGCGGGCGACGGCGTGCGTGAGCGAGCGCTACCGCCGCGTGGAGTGGCGTGTGCGGCGCCGGCCCGACAGCGGCGACAGCGGCAAGAGAGGCCCAGCCCAGGAAGCCGCGGAGCGCGGCCGCCCCAGGAAGAGCAAGGGCCTGAGCTGAAGGCGCTGAAAGGCCTTGCGACCGGCCCGCGTGCACGCGCGCGCGGCTCTTCCCTGTGTCTGCCTCCCCCGCCAGGCAGAAAGGAGCCCTCACCTGCGCGCGGGAGGCTGGCGCGCCGCTCACCTGTCTTTTTGGCCTTTCCCATGATTGCCTGCCCGCTTCCTGCACTTGTTTCTCTCGGCTTATTGCTGGACTGTGGGGGAAGGGCAAAGGCAGGACGGAATCAAGGACACCTCTGGGTGTTCTGTACCTCTTTCCCTCTTGCACCTTGGGAAGTGGAGGACGTGGGATGGAAGAAGGGCCTGGACCTCTCTTCTTCCTCCTCCCCACCTTCTCCTAAGGAGCCTGCGCTGCAGTAAGCCCCAACTTTCCCTTCCTCTTTTCCCTCTTATCAGAGTCAAAGCCCACCCTCCTTTCCCACCGCTCCCCTACCCCCGCCCTTCTTGCCAAGCCGAGGGGCGACGGTGATCCCCAGCTTAGTAGAAAAGTAAATAGGCCGGGCGCGGTGGCTCACGCCTGGAATCCCAGCACTGTGGAAGGCCGAGGTGGGCGGATCGCTTGAGCCCAGGAGTTGGAGACCAGCCTGGGCATCATGGCGAAACCCTGTCTCTACAAAAAAATACAAAAATTAGCCGGGTGTGGTGGCACGCGCCTGTAGTCCCACCTACTCGGGAGGCGGAGATGGGAGGATTACCTGAGCCCGGGAGGCTGCAAGAAGCCGTGAACGCGCCACTGCACTCCAGCCTGGGTGACTGAAACCCTGTCTCAAAAAAAAAAAAAAAAAAAAAAGTGAATAAATGAGCGAAGTCAAGTATACACTGCGAGATCATTGTTATGTTTTGGGGTGGTGTTTCTCCATCCGTTTATCTGTTTAACGGGAGTCTTACCGCCCACCCTGGGGTACAAGAAGGTAGGGTGGAGGGGCATGAAGCTGAACTGGACCTCTGGAGAAAGCATGTGCCTGATCGCTGGGCCCAACTCCCCTCTTCACCATCTGCCTCCAGGTGTGCACGCCAGCACCTTCTAACTCCATAGTCCTTTGGCCCACCACCCACTGAGATGCTGAGGGCATAAGCTCTATTTTTGAAGTGTGGTAGGCATGACTAGGGAACGGATGTCTAAGACCTGGGTTTAGGGCTGGCTCTGACATTTTCCACCTGTGTAACTTAAGGCTCTCTCTCAGTTTCTTCATCAGTAAAAGAGGCGTAAAAGTAAGTAACCCAGCCTAATTGGAAGTTAAGATGAATGTCTCTTCTTGTCTCCCAATTCTTGCTAATAATCATTAATTCTTAATAGGCTGAGATTTGCATTATTCTAGGAGTTTGCTGGAGTGTTAGGCCACATAGCCAATTTTAACTAGGATCTAGCCAGATCTGAGGCCCAGCTGTAGAAATGGTCCCTTGTGGAATTTCTTTTACTGAACTTCCATTTGTAGCTGACCGATAGTTACCTGCGTATACACAGGTGAGTTATTGAAGCTGTAGGCCAGCTGATTGGGTACTGCTGTATTTATGAACTTCTTGGAGAAATTCTCTCAAACCTCAGCCCTTGGAAAAGGTGTTTCTCCTGATCAGTGGTTTGCTTTTATCTTTTAAGCACTAAGGATTTTTTTTTTTTTTTTTTTTTTTTTTTTTTGAGACGGAGTCTGGCTCTGTCGCCCGGGCTGGAGTGCAGTGGCCGGATCTCAGCTCACTGCAAGCTCCGCCCCCCGGGTTTATGCCATTCTCCTGCCTCAGCCTCCCGAGTAGCTGGGACTACAGGCGCCCGCCGCCTCGCCCGGCTAGTTTTTTGTATTTTTTAGTAGAGACGGAGTTTCACCGTGTTCGCCAGGATGGTCTCGATCTCCTGACCTCGTGATCCGCCTGTCTCGGCCTCCCAAAGTGCTGGGATTACAGGCTTGAGCCACCGCGCCCGGCCAGCACTAAGGATCTTATTACTGCTCATACTTTTCTTTTGGTCCTGGTTTCCAAGGAGCTCAGAGTCAAATTTGCTTTGTGTCTTTTTTTTTTTCTTTTTTTTTGGAAACAGAGTCTCACTCTGTCGCCCAGGCTGCAGTGCAGTGGCATGATCGCAGCTCACTGCAACCTCCACCTCCCGGTTCAAGCGACTCTCCTGCCTCAGCCTCCCAAGTAGCTGGGATTACAGGCGCGTGCCACCACGCCCAGCAAATTTTTTTGTATTTTTAGTATAGACAGGGTTTCACCATCTTGGCCAGGCTGGTCTTGAACTCCTGACCTTGTGATCTGCCTGCCTCGGCCTCCCAAAGTGCTGGGATTACAGGCGTGAGCCACCATGCCTGGCCAGTGTTTGTTTTAAACATAGTTTGCAATACAGAAATATGTGATATAGGAAGTTACAGTCTTTTCTGATTTCCCGCACCCCTTAATGATCATTGAGGTCCGATCTACTATTTTTCTATGCACAAAATGTATTTTATATGTGTTATATCTGTATTTTAGACAGAGTTTCACTCTTGTCACCCAGGCTGCTGGAGTGCAGTGGCGCGATCTCAGCTCACTGCAACCTCTGTCTCCTGGGTCCAAGCAATTCTCCTGCTTCAGCCTCCTAAGTAGCTGGGATTAGAGGCACACGCCACCATGCCTGGCTAATTTTTTTGTATTTTTAGTGGAGATGGGGTTTCACCATGTTGGTCAGGCTGGTCTTGAACTGCTAACCTCAAGTGATCCACCTGCCTCACCTTCCCAAAGTGCTGGGATTACAGGCGTGAGCCACCACGCCTGGCCACACATGGTATTAATTATATAAGAAGAGTTGCACTGTTTTGCCTGTCACATTTTATTTTATTTATTTATTTATTTATTTATGGAGTCTCCCTGTGTCGCCCAGGCTGGACTGCAGTGGCGCCATCTCAGCTCACTGCAAGCTCCGCCTTCCGGGTTCACACCATTCTCCAGCCTCAGCCTCCCAAGTAGCTGGGACTACAGGCGCCCACCACCACGCCCGGCTAATTTTGTTTTTGTATTTTTAGTAGAGACGGGTTTTCACCGTTGTTAGCCAGGATGGTCTCACTCTCCTGACCTCGTGATCTGCCCACCTTGGCCTCCCAAAGTGCTGGGATTACAGGTGTGAGCCACTGCGCCTGGCCTTTATTTTTATTTTTATTTTTATTTTACTTTATTTTATTTTTTGAGACAGAGTCTCGCTCCGTCACCCGGGCGGGAGTGCAGTGGGGCAATCTCAGTTCACTGCAACCTCCACCTCCCGGGTTCAAGCGATTCTCCTGCCACAGCCTCCCAAGTAGCTGAGATTATAGGTGTGTGCCACCATGCCCAGCTAATTTTTGTATTTTTAGTAGAGACAGGGTTTCACCATGTTGGCCAGGCTGGTCTCAAACTGCTGACCTCAGGTGATCCACCTGCCTCGGCCTCCCAAAGTGGTGGGATTACAGGTGTAAGCCATCATGCCTGTTCTATTTTTATTTTTTATTTAATAATTAAGTGTCAGAACTTACTTTAGAATAAGATAATCAGGGATGGCCTCTTTGAGGAGGTGACATTTAAACTGAGATCTAAAGAATGCAAAGTTAGCCATGCAGAGGGTATGGTGGGTGCAAAAGCCCTAAGGAGTGAAAGTTATAAAATATGTTCCAAATATTGATTCAGGTGATACTAAGTTGATTCAGGTTACTCATGGATTATAAAACTAATGAGTACAAATTTGAATAAAAACAGTATATTTAGTTTAGTTTCAAAATATGTTCCAATAAGATATTTATTAATTACAAAGTGAAAAAGAGTAAGCTAGTCGTATAATAGGGAAAACTGGTATATACCACCTTAACTAAGTTATCAAAGCTTAGGGTCCCCCAGTGTCTGTCCCCTATTTCTGTGTCTTGAACCCAAAGATCACAGAGTCCTTTTCACCCCTCTGTGACCCAACATGTTTTACCCTGAAGGCTTGAACCCACACTGGGGTCTTGAACATTTCCTGGCACTGATAAAAGTATCTAGGTTGTTGCCAAAACACTGAAAGAAACAAGCCCCAGCCCTGCGCCAAATGCCTTAAACACTCACATAAACTCTATCCCCTGACCACTTTGCTTGGATATACCTAGGGGGATCACCCCTTTTCTCTTGCTGTCTGTCGTGAGGATTGCTGTAGCACTCCATATGTAAAGTTCCCTAATAAATGCTTTGGACTGGCTGACCATGGCAGCTCCCATCTGTGATCCTAGCTCTTTGGGAGGCTGGGGTAGGAGGATGGCATGAGGTCAGTAGTTCGAGACCAGCCTGGGCAACATAGCAAGACCAATCTCTACTTAAAAAAAAAAAAAAAAATTAGCTGGGCGTGGGGGTGTGCCCCTGTAGTCCCAGCTACTTGGGAGACTGAGGTGGGAGGATTGCTTGAGCCCAAGAGATTGAGGTTGCAGTGAACTATGATTATGTCACTGCACTCCATCCTGGGCAACAGAGCGAGCAAGACCCTGTCTAAATAAATAAATAAATGCTTTGGACTGATCACCCTGGTGTTTATTTAATGCTAAGTGCTACTTTCTTTGGAATCCCAACTGGCCCCATCTGGAAAAGGTTTGGGGCACTCCCATGAGGAAACTCCCCTGCTAAGGCTTTTGGGGTGATTCCAACTGTGGGTTCAGCAGGATGAAACAAGTTGACATTATCATTAAAGGGGACAAGTCAACATCATAAGCTTTCTATGTTAAACAACACAACATCAGTTCAGCAGTAATGCAGTCATGAGGAAACCTCAGATAAACCTAAGCGAGATGATCCCACTTGTCTGTATTGTTCAAAAATGGCAATGTCATAAATGACTATGGACACCAGCCCAGCGCAGTGGCTCAAACCTGTAATTTTATCACTTTAGGAAGCCTACATGGGTGGATCGCTTGAACCCCAGAGTTTGAGGACAGCCTAGGAAACATAGAAAAACCTCATCTCTACAAACAATACAAAAATTAGCCGGGCATGGTGGTGTGCACCTGTGGTCCCAACTACTTGTGAGGCTGAGGTGGGAGGATTGCTTGAGCCTGGCAGATACAGGCAGCAGTGAGCTGTGATCATGCCACTGCACTCCAGCCTGAGTGACAAAGTGAGGCCCTGTCTCAAAAAAAAGACTATGTGAACTTCAGAAAATGTCTCAGATTCAAAGGAGGCTAAAAAGGCATGAAAACTAAATGCAATGCATAATCCTGGATTGGATCCTGAATCAAAATAAAACCTGTTACGAAGGACATTACTGGGACAAGTAGCAAGATTTGAATAAGAACTATAGATTATGCTCAGCCATGGGGATAAGATCATAACCAGCCCTTTCTTTTTCTTTCTTTCTTTCTTTCTCTCTTTTTTTTTTTTTGATACGGAGTCTAGCTCTGTTGCCCAGGCTGGAGTGCAAGGGCGCAATCTCGGCTTACTGCAAGCTCTGCCTCCCGGGTTCGCGCCATTCTCCTGTCAGCCTCCCAAGTAGCTAGGACCATGGGTGCCCGCCACCATGCCCGGCTAATTTTTTGTATTTTTAGTAGAGACGGGGTTTCACCGTGTTAGCCAGGATGGTCTCCATCTCCTGACCTCGTGATCCGCCCACCTCAGCCTCTTAAAGTGCTGATGCCCAGCCCTTTCTTATCTTTCATTGTA